CCCCAAAACCCCAAAACCCCAAAACCCCAAAACCCCTAATTTTAGCACAATCTTGAAAATAAAAATTAATTTATGGACAAATTTATGAAAGACCAGATCAATCCTTCTCGCTCACAAAGGCCTGCCAAAGGATTTCGTATGTGTATTATAATAAAAGCTATTATAGGGATAAAAAGAGAAGAGACTTCAAGACCATTACTAAATACTTACACAAGAAGGTTTAATAAGACATCGAACTCTAATATCAGCAAGGTGTTTGAATGATCTCTTTTAGAATTTCCAAGCCACCCAAAACTGCAAAACAAAATCAAGTATCAAACGAGTATGAAAATAGCGAGGGTTAACTGAATATCTATTTCCGTCTTTATTGTTTTGAATCATTAAACCTTTCAGAACCTCAATCTGTTGATATAACCAGACCTTATCTATTTATCTCTAGATTGGAAGTCACCAAACTAGCAAGGAAATCTCCTTCATTAACTCAAATAACAAGATCGGGATGTCACCAGAGGAAACTGAAGTTTCCCCCAAATCTAAAAACCAAAAAGGTTGTAAATTATCTAAAAGAGAGACTCCTAGTGAGGAAAGTATCGGGAGCTTGAGCCCAATAAGTTCATAAATTCCTTCATCTTTCTAGACTTAAAGCCAGTGATGAACTCGAATATAGCAAACTCCACTATCAGATTTCAAAAGATCACCAATCTCTTAGTTGATAAAGGACATCTTGACGCCTCTGTGAACTCAATGAGGGAAAGCATTAGCCCATCCGGCCCTAAAACTTTTCAGATTTCAAGACTCAATAGGAGTCGGGATGAACTAGCTAACTCGAAACCAGAAGGAGGTATGGATTATCAAACTGATAAAATAGATGTAATGCAATCCTCCCCATACTGCAAGGAGCATAGTAGAGTGAGAGGTATAAAGCTCATGTCAATTTTTAGGAAAATAAGCCAAACATCAAAGAACCCACTCTCATCAGCTTAGATCTCGAGACTCCTCAAGAGCGAGGAGACAGTCTAACAAAGCCAAAGAATAACTCAATAAAGTATCTAGTAATTTATATCTTAATCTTAAGACAAGTGACAAGAAGCCTTTAAAGCCCAAGTTTTTAGCTCGAGCTTCAGGCTTAAAAACCAAAGTAGAGTCTTATCTTTCCCATAAAAGTGGTCAAAACTCTTCTAAATTCAGAGTTAACAAAGCAAATGAGAAGGAAAGATTAAACAAAACCGACCTGATAAATATGTTCCATGGCACTAAGCATGAGCTACATTGCACTAAAGAGAAGTCAGGCGATCCGGAGGCTCGGCAAGTCGAACAGGTTGAAAATGTAAGAAGTTTAAAAATCTTAGAGAATGAATAATACTCTTTCTTGGTATTATGGAATGAGAAAATATATCTGTGCTTTATATTGAATAGATACACCACACAATGTTTAAAATCCTGAGTCTAGTCTCATGTCTAAGCAGTGCAATATTTCAATGCAAAAATACTAACAATAGTGCTTCTTTACTTAGATTTCCCTCTAATTTCAACAATTTCAGCCAGCCAAGCAATGTTCTAAAGTAAAAATTTCCAAAGCATGAAACCACAATTTCTTCAAACTTTATTTCTCTGAATTTAACAAAATATGCAAAAACCTTGAGGAACCCAAAATTTTGTAAACTAGGTTACATTATTGATGTTTTTGTCAGAATATTTGCCTGAAAATCTAATCAATAGCTGAAGACTTAAGGATTCTGGGATATGAGAGATGCTAAAGCTACCCCAAAGCTATATATCAATTGACTAATTTAAATAAGATGCTTATGTTCTCAATAAATTATATCACGATTAGAGAGCTGATCCATGAAATTTGCTTATAGAAATTAATATATATTAAAAGCTCTTAGCCTTGAAGTTAGGTTTACACTGCAATTTCCCCTACAAATCTGAAAACACCCTATTCTATAAAGAACTATTAAAGAAAACTATCAGTATTCTGCTTTGTAGGTTGCTTTATTTGGCATACTTTAGTTGAATTGATCAGTAAATTGTTATTCAAATATCAAATCTTTATTTATAGAAAGTAGACTTTGCTCAAACCCTCCCACTTCCTTTGAAAAATGTGCTAGAAAAAGAAGAGGCTGAAAAAATTCCAGCTAACAAATCTGGGCTTGAAAAATATTTGAAACATAGATCTATCCCAAGAGATGAAAAATATGATAAATCTGTAAAATTGTCTGACAGATTAGCTCATAAATCACAAGGGTCTCAGCTAGCCTGACCTCAGCAAGAACATTTAGAGCCATCATCAGCCTTGATACAAGCAGAAAATATATTGAACTGAATCGAACACGAGTCTCATGAGTTATCTCATAATACTGAGAAGGTCAAGAAATGTACAGAAGATATTCCTAAAAAGACCTGCGATCCCTCTTCAAAATATAGAGAACTGAAGAACAGCCCAAGCAGAGATATTCTAGACTCTTATGGCTTATCAGAGCCATTGTCAGATAGAGTTTTACAAAACAGCCAAAGCTGAGAAAACGTACTCTTTCAACACTCAGATCTCAAAAATCATGATTTCACCAAACTCGAGTCAATTGCAGAGAAAGATTTCGAAGAAAAAGAAGAATTTAGAATTAAATGGGAAAGATACACAAACCTAATCAATGAGATCATGCAGGATCGAAAGTAAGAGATTCGATAATTTCTGAATAGATACAAAAATGCATCCCTCAAATCTCTCGAACAAACCTTTCCAAGATCCATAGACTTCTTCAAGATCAAACTCGAAGAGACAAATTTGACAAACGAGCACGAAATAGTATCCAGATTCCAAAATTCTATTTTCAAAAATTTCATGAACCTTTTTGAGGCTAAAGAAAACCTTGAAAAGCAAATAGAATCTCTCAAGTCAAAGATTTCTTCGCTAGAAGACAATTTACTACAACAGGAATGCAAGCTTTCAACATTCAAAGAAGTTGAGGGATCCCTCGACCGTGTTAACAAATTTATAGAAGAAATCTCATGAAACCTTCTTGCAAAAAGCTTTAACCCAAAAGTTGACCATAAAGTTGTTACTTGGCTTAGAAATATTTACGGCGACAAGATTTATCCAAGCTCAAATAGCTTGAAGAGAAAGAGATCGAAATAAGTCAGGAAAATCTTGATCAAAGAATCGACAAAGGAAACCTAATAAATTGATTTCAGAAGTTCTTCAAATTGTCTCCCAAATTTTGGAAACTTCACCAGAACCAAAAATAAGTAGCCATGCTTCTAAACTAGAGTACATCAAAGCAAGGCTGGTATCTGAGCTAGCTCAGAACTCAGAAAAGTCTCTTGAAGATGTGTCGTTTTTCTCTGAAATTCCAAGATCTTCAAAGAAACTGCAGACAAGACTCCTCCAAACCAATGAAGAGGGTGAAGAATTTGGGTAGATAGTTACATTACTGATTATAGAGTAAAGGAAATGCAATCTTACTATGATACAATGACTATCAACAGTGATACAATGTAAGCATCTTCTCTCATATCCATAGGGACTACAGACTAAGCCTTGATTTCTCAGATAAAAAGACAGTCAAGCCTAATCAATTTCTTCCAAGACTTCAACTTCAAAACCAAATCGGCTGCTCTGATTTGATCTCAATGTTGAGAGTTCAAGCTGGTCTTCTTGAGAAAGCTCAACCAGAGTCTTCTTGCCGTCCAACATTTCTGGAAAAGTTCAAATCTCAGCTAAAAGTTCAGTCTCCTGCTCGCACAACCAGGAAGAAAAATCTGACAAAGGTAAAACCCCTTTATACTTATGCGATAAATCATCTAAACTTTTTAAGAGTGTATCTAACTCTAGGGACATCTCATTCTATAAATTTGCCTTATCTCATTACAAAATATTTCTAAAACATCTTAAAGTTCAGAATTTTCTCCAATAAACATTGGCGTAAATCTAGATATTTCTCCAAGAATTCCTCTAAACATACAGAATCTCCTTCTATTCTCCTTCTATATCAACTTCCCGTTAAAATTACTTTAGCAAGAAGTTGAGCTAAAATCCCAAAATTTCATTTGTGGAAAAACCAAAAACCAAAAATCTCTTGAAAGAGAGCCAGCAGTGAGCCTGGCCACTCACCGTAATAATTTCTACACTGATCTGACGTATGCGTCTGACCCTGAGCCAGACGGAACTCCTCCAGCTCCGCTGAAGGGTCCTGACCGGGTGAAGAGGTAGGTGAAAGTTAGATAAGGTCAGTTTTTATGTGGAAGAAGGGGTTTTGGGGTTTTGGGGTTTTGGGGTTTTGGGG